CTGTTATTGGTCTCGGTGAAGTAGAAGTTGATTGCCAGGTTTGTAGGATTGTTTGTGTTTTGTCTCAGGATGTGGCCAAATAATCGCCATCTCGATTCTAAAATTTCTAGTGACAAGGGTCTCGCCGTGCATCTATCATAAAGGTGTTTATTTGATATTCTATGGGGATATTTCAGTCCAATAATCTTTCGGAGTTGCTTACGATGGAAAGTGTTTAGCCTTAGTTCATCATCTTTCGTTAAGGCCCATGTATTACTATTGTATAAAAGCACCGGTTTCACTAGTGAGTTGTACAACCTCAGTCTTGTTTTTAATCTATGTTTTTCTTTTCTGTTCCAGAATGCTGTCTTTTTGTTCATTGCGTTCACAGCAAGTTGTTTCCTTCTGGTGATATCTTCTTTGTCTCAAAGAAGGGACCCTAACTTTTTTGTTAGTCTCCAGTTCTCTTTGACCAGTTCTTCTCTTTTAATGTGTATTCTGTTTTGTCTTTGTTTACTTTGAGATTAAACGAAATTAGGTGAGCTCCAATAAGGTCTACATAAGCCTTCTCGTTTAGGCTGATGAAATCGACATCATCCGCATACAAGATCTCATTTGGAATATGATCATTACTTCTCCCCCTAATTCCCCTTAACGCGTGTTCAAGGTACACCGTGATGAGCACTGGGCTAAGAATGTGCCCTTGTGGTACTCCAGTATTCGTATCAAAATATACGTTGTCTAAAGTCCTTCGTAAGTTTAAGTTGAGCCTTGTTTGGCTTAGCAAAAATCTTATTATCCGAAGTTCGTCTTCATTAATAATCCCATTCAGTACTTGTAAAAGTGTGTCCCTGTTAATGGTATCGAATGCACTCGTCATATCAATCCCAGTGATGTGGAATTCAAGATTGTATCTTGATGCTTTGGCAATCATCCATTTATAAGTCAGAACTACGTCGCTTGTGCTGCGTCGGTCGGAATCCACTTTGACTTGTTGGTAGGTAGCTGTCAATTTTGTGGCGGATTCTTTCTAGCACAATCAGTGACATGCATTTTCTGATGGTGTTGAGTAATATGACTGGTCTGAGATTTTTCATCGGACCGTTTTCCTTACCAGGTTTTTGTAGTGCGACGATGATACCTTTATTTATATCAATCGGTTCATGCATTATGAAAATATTATTGAAAATGTTTGCTATAATAGGCGACAGAACATCTGCACCATATTTAAGTAGTTCTCCAGCTGAGCGATTATTGTTTAGTTTTTTCAAACTTTTGTAAACTTCGGATTTTGTTATTTTATTTATAAGAGGCCTTCCTTTTCCTTCGAATGGTGCGATGATCGGACCATTTATGTTGAAGAATTTACTTTTAAAATGTTCACCAATGGCCCTAGCAGTTTCCTGATCGTTTCCAATAAATTTCTTGCTGTCATCTACGACTTTTGGAATTTCGTATTTTTTTCTATAAAGTTCTTTTACCGCTCTAAACATTCTGGCGCCGTTAACGGCTTGGTCAATGTCATAACTTTTAGCGTCAAGTTCATTGTTTCTTTTTTCACTTATTCGGTGTTGGATTTCATGTAGTACCTTGTTTCTTTCTTTTTAAAGAATATTTCGTTCGTCGTCTGTTTTGCAGTTTGTAATCCTTAACCGTATGTTTTTCTGTTTAACGGATAGATCTTGAATTTCTTCGTCGTAATTTCCATTGTTTTGATTTTTTGTTTGAAACCAACAGAATTTTCTGCAGCTCTTTTAATCACTTTTCTTATATAAATATATACATATATAAATATAAATATACATATATATATACATATATATATACATATATATATATACATATATATATATACATATATACATATATATATATACATATATATATATACATATATATATATACTGTATATATATATTTTAAATTAGATTCGGATGTTAAGAAAGAGCTACAATACTTACTTTCTTATCAATAAATTGTTTTATTGCAACATTCAACATTGTGAATAATGTTTTGTATACGTTATGATGAATATATTATGTTCTCAAATAGTTCATAAATCGTCTTAATTAAAATCAAATATTCAACATATTTTCTTAAAAACATAAAGCGCAACATGTAGTAAATTATTAAAATCAAATATTCAGAAAAAAAAATTATCAACAAGTTTCTTAATATGTTGCCTTCAAATTTCATTCACCTAAATAAAACTGTAAAAATTAACGTTGTTGAATTAATGATTAATGTCCAGTGATGCCCATCGGTCCAGTAAATACCCAAAAAAAAAAACATAAATCCTAACAACTGTATATATATATATATATATATATATATGTATGTATGTGTGTGTATTAAATGTATATGCATATATATAATGAATTTAGTATAGTACACGCAATCTACACAATAACAGAATTTGGTATGAAGCCTATTCACTATCATATTTATATATACATATACATTATAAGATCTATGTAATTGATGTTTATTTGGTAACTATTGTTTCCTTTTGGCACTCTACACTATTACCAACTTTTTTTGGAGGATAATTCCGTGTTAGTGATTGCTCTATCTAACATGACATATATTTGCATAATTTTGTATTCAACATTTGTTCAAACTGAAATTGAGTTTGATGACGAAAAACTATTAAAAGTAATAATAGTAGGTTGAAAGAATGGACATCAGTATTCAAACTTAAATATGTACAGAACCAACAATCCTTCTGTACCCGAATAATTTTAGACAAAGCACAATTTTATTCCCTACTTGTCCACTATTACTAGTTCAGGGAAAAAAAACAAAAACACATTGTCCCCATCAGAAATTAAATGTTGGCATCCATGGATTTTCCACTAACTTATTAGTATCTGATCTTCAATATCTTTTCCCAAATAAAAACCACCCCTAAATACCTGGAATACACATCCAGAGTAAGTACGGATTAGTTTATATAAAGTTTGATATTATAAAATAATTTTCATTTCATATTATTATTACATTATTTGTCTATCTTATGTTTGTTCAGATCATGAATTTCCCTAAAAAGTTTGAACCACAAAATGTTCTTATTTCATCAGCATCGTTATTGATTGTCATCACATTTAAGTCTTTGACTTGTTCCTCCATGAGAATATATGCACATTATAAATTCATATAATTATCATTAACAATTACTATATTACTAATGTTATTAGTACTACAAGAGAAATGTGTTTTACATTTAGAAAAATATTTTTTATTTTAGATATTTATATATGTTGGTAAATGTCATCATGATCAGTTCCTAGCAACCCTGTCAGTGTCATTCCAATTATGTAGCCCTGAGAAATCCCATCCAACATACAATACAACTTCCAGAATAAGACCCTGGTGGAACCATGTCCTGAATTTGACCACACCATTGGCTAAAACATGACAGACATTTATTATAATAATTTTTTTATATTGGCAAATCTGTTCCCTTATAAAATTTTCAAATTTAAATATTCACCCAGTTTGCTACAAAACTACACAAAAAAACAATGCTTTTATTAATACTTATGTAGACTATTTAAAAAAGCAATAAGAATAGAATTGATGATTCAGTGATGAATAATATCATCACTGATTAATAAAAAATACCAGTTATATCTTCTTTGATGATTTTTATAGATTAAATATACTCTTGTTTACAAGGTGATAGTCAATAGAAGCTTAATGGCGGTAGAAACAGCCTATACTTAGCATTAGCCGCAAAGCAAAACAAACTACAATATGTTCTATAATCATATACAATATGTACACAAAACTTTGAAAAGTATTTTATTATTCGTGGGCAGATAAGTATCATGGTCATCTTATTTAGTATATTGCAAACCCTTCAGACAGGCAATACCTTTGACCATAGACAGAACCGTGTTTTAAACCCTAAATCAAGCCATGTATCAGTCATTAAGCCTGACCATATATTACCCACGGATTTAGACCAGGTCTTAGTTTAGATCAGGGCTTAGTACCATGTACCAATAAAGCCATGTTTTGCTCCTAAGGCCTGACCATATCTTATTAGCCACAATTTATGATCCTATCTTATCCTTTAGTAAGCCAAGGTCTTAGCCCCATAGACCAAACCATATCTTAACAAAGCAAGACCATATCTTAGCTCCAGGTCACTTTATTAGCATGTAGCTATGAATCAACAAGGTCAAGGTTTGCAGTCTTTATGTTTAGACACTGCATTGTATTAAACTTATTATAATAATAATTAATATTATAATTATCTTTAAGCTTAAAAAGTGGGTTTTCACATAATTAAAATACAAACTTACTGAGTATATGAAAAATAAATCTCAGCAGATCTGATTTTAAAGTTAATATAGTATTGTGAATAATTACTAAACAATAATTAATGGCCCATAAGTTAGTAACATCTACAGAACAAATAAGATGATGAACACATCCAAATTGGCCCCATTTATTAAATAATGGTGGCAGCTAAATATCAGTTCATTTCTTTAACTAGCTTTTTCATTCGGTCCAACTCAACCTGCATGTTCATCCGCAGTTTCTTTTCTTCGTCGACCTCTTCCATCAGTGACTTCATTTCCTTCCTCAAGTCTGACCTCATACTCGTCATCATGTCTTTGAGTGCTTTCATGTCTTTTTTCATTGTCTCTTTCAAAGACTTGATTTCATTTTTTAGTTCCAGCTCAAAAGCCGATTCAGAGGTCGGTTCTTGGTCTTTTGGAGCGTCCGTGTCTCGTTCCTTGTGTGTTTGCACGGACGGTGATTCTTCAATTGGCTTTTCTGGTTGTGTAGGGGCCACGGTTGCCATTTGCGTTTTGTTCTTTGTCACCATCGGACTGCTCAAAATTGCTGCTGCAAGTTCCTCCGACTGTAGAATTAAATGATCAAGATTGAAAGTTAAAAACAATTTCAAATACATACAAGTCAATACAATGTTAGCAAATATATAAATGAACTTTAGATAACTTGGCTTAATAATTTGATGTAAAGCGCATAGAGGCACTGCGTAATCAGTGGTGGCGCCAGCGGGGGGGGGCTTAAGTCCCCCACCGGACAGGTCAAGCCCCCAGCCGGACAGAGCTCGTCGAGCAGTCAGACCATAAAACATATAAAAATAAGCCCACACCAAGCCAACACATGTCTGTCACAGTCCGAGAGTGCCATTTTCGGCCATCCAGAGGTTGATTTTCTTTTAAAAAAATCTCATTTGGGAGGGGGAACCCTCTCTCAACTCCTTCTCCCAGCTCAAGCCTACGAGCTCAAGTCCCCCTGTCGGACAACTTAGCCCCCACCCCCCAGAAAATATATCCTAGAGCCGCCACTGTGCGTAATGCGCTATATACAGTAAATGTTATTATTATTAATAAAATTGAGATTTTTTCAATGACATCACTGTTAGAAGATATAATCTGAACACTATTTGTTAATTTATACAATGTTTAAAAATTTTTTTTGTATGTATTTTGTATGTTAGTTTTGTAAGTTTTAGGCTATTTTTGTTAAACTTCAATATGCATTTTTTACGATTGCATTAAATTCAAATTTAATTGTTCAACTGATATTTTCAGATGAGATGTATTAGCTAAATCATAAATTTTCAAAATGTTATTATTATGAGCTAATTCATGTAATTAAGCTTTGCTAACAAATGAACGTTCAGAATAGATAAGTGAGAGCACATGACATTGATATGCATTGACATTTTTTTTAAAATTTAGTGGCAAAACAGTGCTCACAGTATGTTGTACCCATATTCATGAGCTAATTCACAGATGAAACCACCAAACAAAAAAAGAAACAAATGACCTCATATTCCTAATATAATATGTCATTTTAGAAAAACATTTGAATGTATTTTACTTTTAAATAATTTTTAAAAAGAATTAATTTTATACCTCCATGATGTACCCCATCCAAAATTGAATGTAACACAACCTGTGATGTGCTAAATACGGCCAATGTGCTCACATAATCAGAGTGTCAAGTAAATATTATGAAATGGAAAATAATGTACTAAAAATGGCTGAGGTAACAGTACACACTCAACCAGTGAATGTCCATGACAAAGAAACCCAAGTTAATTGACTCCGATATTGAAATATTAAATCCAGCATGCCTGTTTCATTCATTATGTTTGACTACTAGAATTGAAATGAGTTAAAAAAAAATAACATAATTTATAGCATTTTAACTTGAATGGCATCTAGTAAGTTGTTTTGGGTGAATTTTCACTAAAACAAATATTGAACCATTAAATTCAACATGCCTGTTTCATTCATTATGTTTAATTACTTTTAGATAGTGACAAGTGTAAAGAAATAACATAATTTCTTAGCCTTTACCTTGAATGGCTTTTGGCATTGTTCTGGGTAAATATTCATTAAAAAAATGATAATAATAAGCATAAAAGAATTAAAATAATGACATTTAAATAATATTACCAAATCATAAAAGAAAAATTCAGGGTCGTAAAGAGAGTTGTACATGCGCAAACCTGCATCAGAGTAAATCTAAATAATTCATTTTTATTTATTTATTCTATGCAACACCTTTTTATTGCTTAGCAATTAATTGATTAGTCATTTAATTTTGTTTTGCTTTGGAGCTCCAAATTGTTCACCGATGGTCGTCTTACGAACCAGGGAGTGCCTGGTTTAACATCACAAGAATGAGTGTAGCATGTCCCAATATAAGTAACTATACAACCCAATATTTCCAATTATATTAGTGTTAGGTGAGGTAGAATGAATGTAAAGATGGTACAAGTGAAAATGTGTATCTTTCCATATATGGGTATGGTTCTACAGTATATGGCTATCTTTTTATTTTTCCATATATAAACAAAAAATATGTATATCCTTCATTTATTTGTTATTTATGTTGAACATCACTATGCTCAACATACATCCTAACATTGAAGGAATTGTAGGATGTCCAAAGATAATAGAATATTAAGGACCAAACCACCAGATTCTACCTAATAGATCTGATAAGTATCGGAGACATCGCCATTCATGATGCCGTCACCAACCTGATTAGGGGATTCTGATCAGATGATTGATGACTGGTGCTGTCACCAGTATAGAAGTGTATCAGCATTTTATTTGTCACCGAAACTGATCACTTAGGTAGAATCGGCTGACCAAACTTACAATATGTGCATATGGGTATCATTCCATCCTTACACATACATTTTTATATATAGAAGTACTTGTATTGTATCCTTCCATCAATCCCCTCTATCTGCAGTATGCTTCTACTCAATATATGGGTATACTTTCATATATGGTCATCTTCTCATGCATATCTTTCCATATATGTAAATATTTCCATATACAAAGTATATGAAGCATATGGGCATGCATGTGCTGTCTACTTTGCTCACTTTTTTCTAATAATCATAATTACTTACACCACAGGAATAAAATGGCTGAATATTGAAATCATGCATTTGTGATTTCACTTTAAGCCAACGATGCTCATCAACTTTCTGAAAATTGTGCACAAAGTGGTAGATAAATGTACAATGTTGAGAATAAATTAAATATATGAGATGATTTTACAAGATGACACTTCGGTACCTCGAGATTCTTTAGACCAGCTGGTAATGTTGACTGACGCTTGAGCGATTTTGAACGCATCTCGTGTTGCCATGGTACTTTAGAACTCTCATCACCATCGTTGCTTGCTATTGTACTCAACCTTGAAATTGTGTTTGATCGTTTCGGCTGAAATTTAGATTCACACTTTAGGCTCCAAACATTATGTATTAGTAATGATGACCGATGAGATGTGAGTCTATGAGAGTTTGATGTGAGTCTATCAGGACGTGATGTGAGTCTATGAGAGTGAGTAAGTTTGAAAAGAGTTTTATTTGATGTATAGTAATTCTATGAGTGTTCGATGCAAGTGTATGAGAATGTCAAGTGTCTATGAGCTTGATATGTGTCTATGAGAGTTTTATTTGTGTCTGAGAGTTTGATGTGAGTCTATGCATGGAGGAATAAGTTTGGTGTATGATAGTTTGATGTCAGTCTATGAGTTTTAATTGATGTAAAGTAATTCTATGAGAGTTTGATGCAAGTGTATGAGAGTGTCAAGTGTCTATGAGCTTGATATGCATCTATGAGCATCTGATGTGAGTCTATGAGGATGTGATATGAGTCTATGAGAGTTTGTGTAAGTATATGAGTTATATTTGATGTAGTGATTCTATGAGAGTTTGATGCAAGTTGTATGAAACAGAGAAGTGTCTATGAGCTCGATATGCATCTATGAGAGTTTGATAGTTTAATGAGAGTCTATGACAGTTTGATGTAAGTCTATGAGAGTGTTTGATATGAGTCTGTGAGAGTTTGGAATGAGTTTCATTTGATGCAATTCTATGAGAGTTTGATGCAAGTGCATGAGAGTGTGAAATGTCTATGGGCTTGATGTGTGTCTGAGAGTTTGATGTGCATCTATAAGAGTTTGAGTGAGTTTATGAGTTTCAGTTGATGTACAGTAATTCTATGAGAGTTGCAAGTGTGAAAAGTCTATGAACTTGATATGCATCTATGAGAGTTTGATGCGAGTCCAAGAGTTTGATGTGAGTCTATCAGAGTTTGATGTGAGTCTATGTGTTTGATGTGAGTCTATGAGAATGTGATGTGAGTCTATTAGAATTTGATGCGAGTATATGAGAATGCGATGTGAGTCTATGAGAGTTTGTTGTGAGTCTATGAGAGTTTAATGTGAGTCTGTGAGAGTTTAGTACGAGTCTATGATAGTTTGATGTGAGTCAATGAGAATGTGATGTGAGTCTATGAGAGTTCGATGCAAGTCTATAAAAGTTTACCCGACTACAAATAAAGTGTAGTGACTTGGATTCAAAAGGTATGAGAAATCAACTGACAATATGATGTTATAGGTTTACTGTGAGTCTGAGAATTATGTATACAATGAATTCAAATATAGTCACACATATATGGGTGAATATAATTACACACAGGATGATTGTTGATTAATGAATTATAATTTAATATATTATTTTGCATATAATAATTATCTGTGAATTACATTCATACAATAATTTGGTGCAGTAATTAATAGATTAGTTCATAAATCTTGATTTACTGTATGTAGTAATTAGATATACAGTATATGTTTTTTGTATTAATAATGTACAGTATTTTAATATAAGTTAATATTTGATGGAACATATGTTGACAAATTGGTGCAGTGAATTAGTTTATTATATATTGTTGTCTTTTTATCCACACATGATTTATGAGTATAGGGTGATTATAAACATTTAACATTCTGATCTATTTTCTCTTAGCTCCTCATAGAAATCTCTAATTTTCTATGATTATCAAAATTGTAGATTTTACAGTATTTTTGGATTTCAATTTTCCAGTGCATGGATAATACACAAAAGTCAGAAGACTAATTTCCATGGCCCTTCTTATGATGAACTATCTCCTACTCATTTCTGAAGGGTGTACTGCGTTCTTTAAAATGCACATGGGCCATATTGCACGCAGGACCCATTGATGGAATTATCTCTTCCGAAAGAGGTTGTATTATTTTAACTTGCATTTCAGACTTCCAACTGAAGCAAAAGGAGATCAGCGATGGAATTGAACAAGGTACCGAAAATCTGAGAGGAAATCCACGATTCAGTTCACTCAAAATGGTCATCACCATTTAGCGAACTGCACTAATCCGACTAAAGCAAAGCTACCGTATACTGTGCACCCTCCAATTCAGGGACCCTATAATTCTGAGAACCCTCTAATTTAAACCACATTTCAAAGAATCAAATAACAATCCTCACCAGGGACCTAAAATTCTCACCAGGGACCTGAGTTAAGCGCAAAGAGGTCTCTACAATATGCGCTCTATAAGTCAACCATTATTATTATTATTATTAATTGGAAACCAAATCCTGGGACCACCAAATTTTCAGGTCCCGAAGTTGGTCTTGAATTGGAGGGGACACTGTTTTCATCATTTAAACTTTCAATTTCGTCTAAAAGTGAATGATTTGCACACACAGAAACACACACAGTGATGCTTAGTAACTAAAGCTCTGGTCCACACCATCAAATTCTATGTAACAAATACCTGTGATCTGACCATATATGGAAGTTATATGACATCACCATGTTATATGGGCAAATCACATTTTTTTTACACAAAACTAGATAGTGTGGTCCAACCTTAAGTCTTATTTTGACACTAATATGAGTTGCTGTTTTAGTTGTGAAATGGATAATGGTAGTTTAATCAGAGGCTAATAACTTTTTTAGTTTAATTAATAAACATTTAAGAGAATACGTATGATGAACTGAAATAGGCATAACACTAGATGAATTAGGCAATGGATATATATGCAGTTGAAAATTAACATAAATAGATAAAAATGTATATTATCAATTAAAAATATCAAACAAATAAGTTTAATATTAAAGAAAATAAATTCTATACTCTGATCTTTTACACTATATATAACTATAAAAACGAATAACCAAGATTTGCTTGGTTACACATAATTTTACACAGCCTGTTCATGCTGATTTTTTTAGTCAATTTAACCAAGAATATAGTTATAGTCCAATCTGAACAGGGCTTAAGGTCTGTCCACATTGTCAAATTCTATGTGACAACTTTGTGTGTTGTGCCCAAATATGGGCATGATGTTATATTACACCCAAATATGGGCATATCACATTTGTCGCATGTCAATTGACAAGTTGAACAGAGCTTTTGAGTTTCATTATAAAGTTTAGTGAAGCTTTTTACGAGGTGAAAATTATCAAGTGGTATTTATAGACAACTCAACAAGGCTGAAAAGATGTCCTCAATAGTATTTAAATCAACTATAAAAAATAACAATGTTGATACCATAAAGTTGTACGTTAACCAACTTACCCCCTCTACAGCCTTGTATACAGATGGTGGCCGTTTATTTGGCGTCTTTGGTCTTGAAAGATTTGGATGATTCAGCTTATTATTCGATTTTATGTCATCAAATGAATCTAAAATGACAAAGAATAATAGTGTTTAATACTATGTACACTGTCTCTATTTGTCTTTTTATTGTCATTACATAGAATTTGGTTGAAAATTATACCAAGCTTTTTCCAGTTTAAGAAGTCGCCATTCAGAAACAAAAGGCCAAGTAAACGAAGAAGTACTTTCTAGTTAATTTTTTTTTGGAGAAAGGAGAAATATGAAATATTTTTTATTTTACTTGCCATAAGTTAATTTAGCAACATTTTTTGAGTAACCAGGAAGTTGAGGAAGTATCTGACCAGATTACCTCATTTTCTTAGACAAACAACTGTTGTACTGTACTCATGCTCCCCTCCTAACATGAAAATTGTCTTAAGCGCCCCGTTTGAATAAGCGTTCCTCGATTCCTAAAAAAATTCAATCATACAGTACAGTACATCACCAACTTAATTTTCTGCATCAACTATTCGCATCTATCTTAGCATTATAAAGATATGAATTTGCGTCAGGAAATATGATAGGAGTGATGTTTTGCCCTACCTGACGTGTTATCGTACCGAATACTCGGTACGACCCGAAATTCTATCATATTTAAGCAAGAAATCCTGCAATGATCCTGTTAATCTGAATTGGCAGATGGCCAACACGCTTACCACCACCACCAATTTCATCTGCTGTTGTGTAAATACCCCGACGATTACATTTTCTTCACCAAAACCATTAGCTTATCTTTGATTAAAAAAAAGTGCCCCTTGAATTTTCCAATTTCCCATAAAAGCACCCCTTAAATTTTCATCTATTTCCATAGGCGCCCCCTCAATTTCCACTCTGTTTTCATAAGCGCCCCGTTTGAATAAGCGCCCCTCAAAAAGATTTTAAGCGCCCGGGCGCTTATTTGCGCGAGTACAGTATGCCTATGCCTGTTACATGTTTTTATCAAATCAAATTTGATAGTCTGGACAGGGATTGAGACAAGCGTCCAGTCAATGTTAGTAGCTTTGCACAATCATATTCACAAAAGCAAGCTGCATAAGACAGTTTCACACCTCAAGTCTTGCATTTGATGTGAGACTCGCACATTCCAGACATCTCATACACTTTCACGTCAAAGGATGAATGCTTATCATTGCTAAACAATAACACAAGCTATCGATTCAATAATAGCAATTTACACTCTCACTAACCTGGGTAAAAATTGAATTTACAATTTTAAAATTATTTTGATACTTGAGAAGCTGAAACATTTTGCTGAATTTTAAAGAAGTTTCATAATTTAACAGCCAATGACTGTCTTCAACTACAGGAGAAAAGAATATAATTTATTCATGTGACAGGCAAATATGTAACCGACACACCAAAAGAAGAAGAAAGCATATTGTGGGGGCCAATATATTTTCAAAACAGAAATCTTGTAGCCATTTGGTTCTTTTCTGCTCTTAGATGACGTGGGACTTTTGTCAATCATTTAGACTATTAAAGTTCTAAATATGTCAAATACCTCCTGAATTGTGGGCCATTGCGGTCGGTTTTTTATCTTGTTCTTTTGTATTGCTTGGTGGAAGCACCTGCTTACTTGGGGCTGGCTTGTTTTTAATTGGAGGTGGTTTCCTTTGTATCTGTACAAAAAAAGGAAAACAAAATAAGATGATGAAAGAAAACAAGTATATCTTTCAGACTGCTTCGACAAAAAATGGTGTACGTCCGTATATAGTTATGATGTGCCTCAGGGGTGCAGCGGGGGGAGGGGCAGGACCTCCTTCGGGGAGAAAACCACAATTTGTCGAGGAGAAAAAAATTATGTATTTTCTACATATTAGTAGACTCCAAAATCGATTAAATAAGCCTTTGAAACCCCTAAATTGTCATAATTTTCGGTGGCTTCGCCCCCAGGTACAATTTCAAGAGATTTTGAGCAACGCCCAACCACACTCAATTTTTTGTCCAGGACATTCCCCCCCGTACCTAGGCCCCCCGTCGGGCAAACCCTGGCACCACCACTGATGTGCCTATATATATATATAGTCATGGAGTGATGTCATCATTACCATATTTAGGCATGTCATATGTTTTTGTCAAATCAAAATTGACAGCCTGGACAGGGTTTTAGAGAAAGAAGTTGTTTATGTTACATGTGAAAAAAATCCAGGTTTCCACAGGATTCAAACTCAGAACCTTCTGAGTAGTCTTAGGATTAAAACAGATTCGGGAAGTTGGTTACCAAGGATAGATCCCAGGGTCAAATACCCAGAGGTAAATACCATGAGAAGATGCCATAAACCTGATAATGTGAGTTTCAATAGAAAAAAATGTTTTTATACTTACAGGTTTTGCTGGCCGTGAGGGTCCAGTGGCAGACTTAGAGGGTTCGTCAGATTTGACCGGTGGCTTGAGTGGCGATACTGGTGGCACAGATGAATCTAACAGTGATTTTGGAAGTGGTTTGTGTATCGACTTAGCTTCTATGCTTGGTGGTCGGTTAGGAGGTTTATTTGGAGCTTGAGATGAATGCGCACGAGCGAAAAAAAAAGGACAAAAGAAGCAAAGCCAAAGATGTAAAGAATATGCAGTGAGTTACAAGCCCATGCTACTGGCTACCGTTACTATAAATGTTGATTGCTACTAATACTAAAATAAAAGTAAAATAATTTTATAATATATAAATAATATACAGTAATTTAAAAAAAAATCAGACGCATAGAGAATATTCGTAGATGAAGATCATTCAAGCATATCATGTTTATTATTAAATGTTAGTGAACCTTGACCTCATTAAATGAGTAGTGTTGCACCATGTGTTTGATTAGGGAGTTTTCGGTAGGACGGTAGGACGTAATGACGTCACTAAAAGTCATCTGCGCATGTCAATGTCTAGACATGGTTCAACTTCATTTATATTGCAACATAACTGTTGTAATAAGTATTGAAATCGTAATTAAAATATCACATACTTGTTCTGTGGTGCAACAAAACTCACACAGTGTTGGTAAGATACAATGTTAAAAAGATCATTGGCAGATTCTTTAAGGTTGATTATAGAAAATTTAATAAAGACAGAAGTAACAAAATAATATTAATTGTTTGCTGAATTTTTTGCTACTACTGTATATGTTTTGAAAGCAGACTATGATCATTAAGGCCAAGCAAAATCATCAATTTGTTTCTCATTTCTGATCACTTATTAGCTGTTACCTCAGTTTTGTTTTAAAGATTTTTTGTTTTGAATTTCTCATGGTATATTTTTCAACACTGAATCAATGAAATTCTTCTTTATTGGTATAATAGCCTACTGTAACTGTAATACTAGAACTAGCAATTTATATATTCTATTTTATTTTTTATTTGTGTAGATCAGAGTCAGTTTTGTGAGGGTAACAGGTTGACCTGAAAATGCCAACGAAGTACATACTTATTATATTTAAACAAACAGGATAAGAAACTAATTATATTTTTCACTTGGCCTAAAAAATAACTCTCAAAAATGTAATTGATTTCATTATTAACACATTCAACTAATTCTTGAACTAATCATCACTAATATCACAATCACCAAGATAATCATCACCATTAACATAGCAACCAAGTTTATCATCACCATTACCACAACTAAGATCATCACCATTACTATAGCAACCAAGATCATCATCATTACCACAACCATCAAGATCATCATCAACATTTACACAACTACCGACATCACCATTACCATTACCACCAACAACATCACCTCCACTATCATCATTCATTATTATCATCATCTTTATCTTAGTCATTACTATGAACGCAAATAATCATTACAATTATTGTCATCATAAAACAAGTTAGCATTATCACCTCACCAGCATTATCATCATCACTACCACTATCATCATCATCTTATCATGACACTAACCTGGTGGCCTTAGTGGGACTGATTCTTTTTTTGGTCTCTGAAAAATCATAAAAAATATGATTTAGTATCTAATGAGTATGCACTCAAGATGATAATTTTTTAGGTTCAATGTCTTTTGGAAGACCAGTTTGCATTGTTGGTTGTGTGTGCAATAATATAGCCATGTGCGTGTGCAAAACTGTCTCCCAGTGAACTGCCAAATAGACTTTTCTGCTAAGTCCCTTGGATGTTATTGCTAAAGTCCCACAAAACGACAGTGTAAAAGCATACGCACACACATGCGTCTGTAGGATATATGGATATTCCTGGCAGGGGCGGCTCTAGGATATGGTTTTTGGGGGGGGGGCCTAAGATGTCCGACTGGGGCCCCCTAAATATTTATGGGTGTAACAATAGTGTGCAACATTATCTGAGGGCCGAAGGCAGATGTGTATAAGAGACAGATTATTGCACC